GGGGCTTCCTGAGCGACCACCCCACCGAGGCCGTGCTCCTGGAGGTCAAGGCCGTGCACTCGTTCGGGGAGGCCGTGTCCATGGAGGAGCCCCACGCTCTCGCCTGCCGTTTCCCCCTCCTGGTCCTGCGCGTGCCCATCGATTTCCACCTTCCGAAGCTTCCGCGCACCGCGGCGCGGCCGCGGCGACCGTCGAAACCGCCGCTGCTCGGCCGCGTTGGCTGCTGGCCGCTGCGCTGCATCTGCTGTCTTGAAGGCACGCGACGTCTAAGACGACGCAGTGTGTGTGTGTGTGTGCTTGTGTGTGTGTGTCTGTGTGTGTCTGTGTGTGTTTAATTGTGTGTCTGGGTGTGTGTGTGTGTTTGTTTGACTATGCGTGACTGTGCTTATGTCTGTGTGTCTGTGTCTGTGTGCGTTTGGATAGTGATGCTACGGTTGCTGTTGAATTGTTCGAGATATAAGAAGTACGGTTAATATACCCACATTTTCAATCAAAACGATCCTCCCAGGGCTCGCATCCTGCTTTTAATCAGGGAAAGTGGGTGGTCACCAAGCTGCGCCCCTGGCCCCCGGTGTGCAATGAGAGCGGCTCCCGCCTTATGTTTCTGTTCACGATGATTTTCAAATTCGCGCTCTCGCGCGGGATCATGATTTTGCCCGAATCTTGCACTCGCGTGGCTCTTCCTCGACATGTGTTGCGCGCCGTGCTCCTCAGACTCAGGAGTCACGCTCCCGCTTTGGTTTTCCACACGGTTTACTTGGGAACCGAACCATCGCTCGAGTTTTCATTCATGATAGGTTGACGCTTTAGCGACCCGCCCGCTCGACCTGGCCGTCTGGGCTCGCCCGCACGACCTGCCCGTTGGGGTCCGCCCGGCCGACACGACAGGCTGGTTGTGCCGCTTGCGCTGCTGTGCCGATGTCTCCTCCTGCAGATTTCTCTCGTGCTCCATCCTTGTCCCTCCCCCTTGCCTTTTCACTTCTCCAATCCTTCCCCTGTTTTAGGGGCTGCGCCAGTTAAACATGGCAGGTGGGGGCGCGATCGAAGACGAAGCGGGCGGAGACCGAGGGTTTGTGATATACGCGGAATGGCACGCAAGCAGGTAAAAACGAACAGTCTGACCATGATTGAGTTCTCATTCCTGAAGACTATGTATTGTTGGTTCCCCTTTCACTGGCGAGGAGGAGGAGGAGGAGGAGCCCATTTTTTTCAACTGAAGTGCCCACCTCGGGGCTCGGACCCTGTTTTTCTCAGGGGGAGGTTTCGTGCTCAAGCGGGGATGTTGGCAACCCGGCTTCCACGACAAGTCTGCCGCCTGCTGCGTCCTCACAAGTGATTCCGACATCGCGCTCTCGCGCGGGACGTCCTCACATCTTTGTTCCGGAATCGAGCTGCCGCGTGGGTTCTCCCTGCACTGCATCGAAATGCCGCGCTCTCAACGTTCAGGAATCGCGCGCGATTCACTTGGGAACCGCGTTGTGTCTCGAGACTTCATCGCAATGCATGCAGCACTCACGCTTCAGCAGCCCGCCTGCTCGGCCTGGCCGCTTGAGCCCGCCTTCCCGACCCGCCCGTTAGGCCGTCTGGTTCTGCGATGTGATTTCTGCGCCTAGCCTCTCTCCTACTACAGTCGGGGCCCTGAAGAAGAAACCCTTTTGGTTGGGGAGGGGCTCCGCGTTCCTTAATTGTTTCGCAGCTTGCCTCAGGTTTCCTCTGGTTTTCGATAGGAAATCGAAGTTTAACTTATGGAAATTAGGGGCCTCGTTCCTTATTTAGGGTTCCTTAGGTCAACGCCCCGACTGTACCCGCCCGATCAGACCGTCTGGTTCTGCGATGTGGTTTCTGGTCCTAGCCTCCCTCCTGCTAACCCCGTGCTCCATCCTGCTCCCTCCCCCTTGCAGCCGGCATCTCTTCCCTTGCATTTGGAGCTGCACCGATTCAACGTAACAGATAAGGGAGAAATGCCCCCTAGGAAGTCACGATCAAAGACGAAGAGGGTGGGTGAGGGTTTGGGATCTACATGTTGAGTGGCACTCGAGCAGGTAAGAGCGAACAGTCTTGAAATGGTGGTTGTTGTTGTTGCTATTGTTGTGTGCGTGTGTGTGTGTGTGTGTGTCAGTGTGTGTGTGTGTGCGTGTGTTTGTGTGCGTGCGTGCGTGCGTGCGTGCGTGCGTGCGTGCGTGCCTGAGTCTTGTTCTGTGTGTGCGCGCATGTGTGTGTGCGTTTGTGTGTAAGTGTGTGTCAGTATGTGTGTGTGTGGGTGTGTGTGTATGGGGAGAAGGAAAGGAGGGGGATCTGCGTGTGCCTGTGTGTGTGCCTTTGCCTGCGTGTGTGTATGTGTATGCGTGTGTGGGTGTGTGGGTGTGTGTTTCTGTCTGCGTGTTTCTATGTATGTGTGTACTTGTTTGTGTGGGAATGTGTGTGCTGTGTGTTTGTGTGTGTGCTTGTGTGTGCGCGTGTGCGTGCGTGCATGCGTGTGTGTGTGTGTTTGTGTGTGTGGTGGGGGGGGCTTGTGTGCGTGTGTATATCGGTGTGTGGCGTTTTGTGTGTGTGTGTGTTTGTGTGTGTGTGTGTTTGTGTGTGTGTGTGTGTGTGTGTGTGTGTGGTGTGTGTGTGTGTGTGGGGGGGGGGGGGTCTGCGTGTGCCTGTGGGTGTCTTTGCCGTCGTGTGTGTGTGTGTGTGTTTGTGCGTATGCGTGTGTGTGTTTTTGGTTCTGTGTGTGTGTGTTTCTGTGTATGTGTGCGCGCGTGTGTGTGTGATTGTTTGCGTGTGCGTGCGTGTGTGTGTGTGCGTGTGTCTGTGTCTGTGTGTGTGGGTGTGTATGTGTGTGTGTGTTCGCGCGTGTGTGTGTGGGTGTCTGTGTGAGTGTCTGTTTGTGTGTTGGTGTTTGTGTGTGTGTTTGTGTGTAGATGTTTTGGTGGAGGTGGGAGTGGAGGCGGATGTGTGTCTGTGTGTGTCCGTGTGCCACTATGTCTACCAGTTCCCGTCTCTGTATCGAGGTGTCGTTGTGTCTGCGTGTCCGCGTGTCTGTTTGTCTGTGTGTCTGTGTCTCTGTGTCTCTGTGTGTCTGCGTCGATGTATCTCTGTGACCGTGTGTCTCTGTGTCTCTGTGTCTGTCTCTGTGTCTTGTGTCGCTGAGTCTCTGTGTGTGCGTGTTTGTGTATATGTGGGCTTGTGTTTGTGTGTGCGTTTGCGTTTGATTGTGTGTGTGTGTTTGTGTGGGAGGCGGCCACTGCTCCTCACTTCTCCCTGTCATCCACGCCCGGATGGCTGTGCGCTGCCTTCCCCTGGTGTCGCGCTGCGCTGGAGTCCCAGACGTTGTGTTTTGGCACGACTGGGGACTCTGAGACGGCTGTCTTCCAATGGGATAGCTCCCGCAACGAACATAATTCTTTCAGGGGCCCATGAAGAGGAATGTTGAAGGAAGAGTGTATTAATTGAACGCCCCTGGGGGGGGCAGACACCGCCGCCCCACTTTGTTTGGAACCCGGAGTTTCTCTGCGGGGGTGTCCATGGCGACCCCAGAGGGTCCAGAAAGGCTTGGAGGGCGGGCTTAGATCTCAGAGCAACGAAATAGTGCTGAAGATTATTGTTAAAGTTTTGTGCTCAGGATGTGTGCGTGGATCCGTATGACGTATTCGTACCCGGGAGTGTTATTAAGAGTACGTTTTCAGAATTGTTGTTCTGGGTGAGTGCTAAGTAAGGGCAAGTATTACGGATTGGTGCTCAGGATTTGCGTCTTGGAATAGTGTGAGTTACCAGTGCGAATGAGCAATGTGAAAGGATCGTGTTAAGGATGTGAACCCCTGGGACCGAACCTGCTACAATCCCCTCTGGGGTATGCACGTATTATGTGGCGTGAGGTTCAGTAAGGCTGTGGTTCGGCTGGGCTCAATGTGGACGTCCAGCTCATTGGTTCAGCTGGGATGCTCATGTGGGAGAGTTGTATGCATGGTTTCAGTCAAGGCGCCTTTGGTGAGTGCAGGCACGGCTCAAGGGGCCAAAAGGGCGCGTAGGCTCCAAAGAGCTTGAATCCATCAGGGCAGCTCTCGGGTAGTGGTGCTGCTGCCACAGACCGCCAGCAGGCGCTTTTTGGGAGCGTGGGAAGTTTGGGTGAGAGGCGTGGTGGAGGAGAAGGAGGGCCAAGAAAAGCAGGTCAGAGTGGGGGAGGGGCGGGGGTCGAATACGGCCCCAGAGGGTCTCGGAAGACGTCACCAAGTTGGCGCATGACAGGGCGAGAGGGGGAGTCTGAGATAGCTCCTCTTCCCCCTCGACGCGGAGTTTATGGGAGGGGCCAAGATGGCCCCAGAGGTCCAACAAGACGTGGAAGAGGGCCGAAGAAGGCCATCAGAGGGCCCCAAGAGGCTCCGAAAACGGCCCAACGGGGCACCCGACGGTGTCGAAAACGGCGAAGGAGACTGGGACGCGATACGGAGATGTGAAAATGAGCAGTCCCACGAGTTTTTGGGGCCTCCGAAGGCCCTCCAGTGCCCCCCTGGGCGCGCCCCAGACGGCGCCCCAGACGGCGCCCTGTAGATATTCAGACCTCGCCGTCCCTGGGGGGCTGCGATCTGCGAAATTGTCGCCACTTTCGAGGGCTGCTGGTGGGTCCTGCGGACTGAGACACCGCGCGGACCTGAGCGGGACCTCGCCGTCCCGGGGGGGCTGCGATCTGCGACATTGTCGCCACTTTCGAGGGCTGCTGGTGGGTCTTGCGGAGTGAGGCACCGCGCGGACCTGAGCGGGACCTCGCCGTCCCTGGGGGGCTGCGATCTGCGAAATTGTCGCCACTTTCGAGGGCTGCTGGTGGGTCCTGCGGACTGAGGCACCGCGGGGATTTGAGCGGGACCTCGCCGTCCCTGGGGGGCTGCGATCTGCGAAACTGTCGCCACTTTCGAGGGCTGCTGGTGGGTCCTGCGGACGGAGACACCGCGCGGACCTGAGCGGGACCTCGCCGTCCCTGGGGGGCTGCGATCTGCGAAATGTCGCCACTTCGAGGG